AATTGATTATTGAAAAGACATGGTTTTATTTATTAAATTGGGTTTGTTATTTGACTAAGTGCTTGCATGTGTGTTTTGGCCTCACGAGCGTTTAGCTCACCCTATAGTTTTGTTTTCCTTAACAGGACCGACTCTTGGAGAAATATGGAGAAACCATCCGTTGTAATTTTGTTAAGACTCCTGTTATATATTTTGACTAGGCCCTGGTTTGGGTTGTACTTTTGGAAATTGTAAACTTGAAAAGTTTGGGCCCTGATGTGTACTTTGAATTTAAGTCGTTTCATGATTACCCGATGTACTGTTATACATTAAGTGACTTATTAAGCTTGAACGCTTCCGCATTATTGTATTCATGTTGTTCTCATCGAAGTGATTAGTTCGGTTTGAAATTGAATGGAATTGCTTGAGTCCTGGCGTGAGCTGGGCAGGCGTCCGCGGATACCCTTTGGTCCGCCTTAGGGAGATGTGGGGCGTCACACCATATACACCAAGGACATTTCAAGTTAGACAAAGTCAAGTGCAGTAAGTACTATATATGTTGGCATTAACATACCACAAGTAAATGACATGTAGGAACAATGCAAGGGCAAAGCGAAAGAAAAACACGACTTGTCGTCCCACACTCAGTGAAAATCACCCCGTTCGGTTTCCTACTCCACTTCCCAAGGTGCCCATTGATCTCTTGTACTCACTCTAGCTAGCAAAGCCTGTTCATGTTTCCAAAATGCAAGTCTCAAGTACTTAGCAGCACCTCAACTTTGGAGTACTCAGGCACGAGAATTCAAAATAAGATAATTCATATCTCGAGCTGGCCAGTCCCAAGAGTAAACTATCTACAATCGAAATTCCTCCTGACGTACCTATCTATTGACCTCACATGTCACGAGAAAGATTTAAGGCCTAATAACAATTCATGACTCCATAGCTTAAGCTCAACGAGCACTTAATCTTTCGTACTTATTCACCACTTGGCGCCAAGCTCACTCCGCGCAGAGACCATGCGAAGTAGGCTCTGATACCACCTGTGACGGCCCACCTTCCCCCTAGAGCGTACCCCAGGGTTTGGCGGGTCGCTTGTTCAGCTCTCGCTGGGGCTCGATGCTCTAGAACTAGAAAATAGAGTTCATGCCAAAAGAAAGCTCTATTTACTCTATTACATCTTCAAAAGTTGCATAAACCAGAACATCAAGTCATACATACCACGAGTACCAGCAAATAAACCCTAGAAAAGCTGATAACTACAACCACCACGACAACTACATACATCTGGCTAGTCAACTTATAACAAGTACAAATTCAACTCATGTATAATCAAAACACTAAACACCTTCCCAAGCAATCCCCGCGTCGGCCCCCTGCTAAAGAAAACATGTGACGACCCCACTTCCCAAGAGCGAACCCAAGGGTATCGGCGGGCCGCTTGCCTCTCGCCCAGGACTCAAAACTTAAAGCATAAAAGCCAGAAAATCCAAAAGAGTACTTACATACTATATACAATCCCAAAAGAGTTATAATTACATTCTCCAAAAGTACCTGCTCTTACTATTACATCCGTATAATTACAACCAAACCAAAAGGGAGACCCTAAGAAAGGGTCCTAATACAAACCACCAGAATAAAAACAAACATCCTAAAAGTTCAACTATTACAAGCCAATCTACTAAACTAGTGTATGAGCCCCAAACGTACCCGTCGTGGCCCCTGCTAAGGAAAACAAACGGAATGGGGTAAGCTAAAAGCTTAGTAAGTAAACAGGGGCAAAAGCGTAAATTTCACGTAGCAACATTTACACAGTAAAGTAAGTAAGCAAACAGGCAAAAAGCAGAAAAGTAACATCACATAATAAGGATACGGGTGGCTCCAAAGCCGATTCATTTGCCATGCTTTGATCTCCTGTCGACACTCCGTCGACCATAAATAAGGTCCGTAGAACTTCACTTGTACACCCACCGACACCTTATCACCCTCACTGGCCAGTCACCTCACAAACTTGCCCAGGCGACACGAACATCAACAACTTGAGCTTTAATCATAAGCTCGGGTCACAAACTTGGTGACCTCAAACCAAGTTGGACTGACTTCGACCAAGCCCTAACCGGCTCGAAT